AATTTTCCAAATTTGTTGCTGTAATTAACTACTAGATTAATTCTTTGTTGACCAGAGAACACACTTTACATTATTTAAATTATTGTAAATGTCTTGTAATTTATCACATGGTCTGTATTTTTCAATGTTCTGGGTACATTTGAAAAAAATACGTGGTCTGCTGTTATTAGATGCAGTGTTCCATCAATGTCATTGGTTTGCTGATGTGTTGTTCAATCTTTTATATCCTTACTGATTTTCTGACATTTTCTTTTTTTTTTTTTTTTTTGAGACAGGGTCTTGCTATGTAGCCCAGGTTTCCCTCAAACTCATGATCCTCCTGCCTCAGCCCTGATTTTCTTTTTGTTCTATTCATTACTGATAGAGAAATAATGAAGTCTCCAAATACACTTGTGGTTTTATATATTTCTTCATTTGGTTTTGGCTTCATGCATTTCGTAGCTCCATTGTTAGGTACATTCACATTTAGGAGTGTTATGTCTCTTGAGAAATTGACCCTTTTATGATCATACAATGTTACTCTTTACCCTTTTTTTGGTTTTGAATTTTTTAGGATTATAAAATAAGGCTTTTTTTTTTTTTTTGCAGTACTGGGACTTGAACTCAGGGCCTCCACCAGCCCTTTTTTTTAATGTTTTTTTTTTCAAGATAGGGTCTTGCAAACTATTTGCCTGGGCTGGCTTCGAATTGTGATCCTTCTGATTTCTGCCTCCTAAGTAACTAGGCAAGAACCACCAGCACCAGCTTCGCTCTACCTTTTCAAAGACTGTCTTGTTTTGGCCTTGAAGTTTGTGTTGAATATCAAGATTCGAAGTTTAAAAGGGTAAATATCAGTCAGTAAAATGTGGACAATTAAGACATACATTTCAGGTGACAATATGCTTGGGCAATGAGACAGCATTACATGAACCTAATAATATTCCTGAACAGATTTGCCTCTTGCGGGGACAGGGTTGGTGACTCAATACACATGCTAGGCAAGCACTTTACCTGTTATTGTTGTTTTCTAATGTCTTCAAGATGTAATCGTATATCATTCAAGTCTTTTGAAATCTAGTACTGTGTCAGAATATGCCTCCAGTTGCCCTTTCTCAATACCAAACATTGTATTGTTTATTTGTTTGTTGTGGTGCTGGGGATCCAACCTCAGGCCTTCTGCATAAGAACACATTCTACCACTAAATACATTACTGTTTAATCAGTTGATTTTTAAAATTTATCATTCTCTAAGGAAAGGGAGAGTTAGTATTTATTAGGCACATATTATGTACCAAGTGTCGTGTGGTATTGGGTAGTATCCAAAATATCACATCATTTTTCTTTGTGATAACCATGCAAGTTGACTATTATTCTTATTTAACAAGAAGAGAGAAAAACAGAGATTAAGCAGTTTTCTCAATGCAACCTGAATAAGTGAGAGTATACTAGCATTGAACTAGTATTCAAACCAGCTCTGTCTGATTCTAGTACTGATGCCTGCCCACTGTGGTGGTTAATCTTAATTACCAGATAGATTGGATCAGTACCACACACCTGGGTGTGTCATCCTGAGGGCTTTAACCTAAGGAATGGATTAATCCCTTGATGATTCATAATATGACGGCATTATTGGGAAGTGGAACCATGGAAGGTGGGCCTGTGTAGAGGAAGTAGGTCAGTGGGGGCATGTCCTTGATGGCTTCATCTTGCCCTAGTTCCTTCCTGTTACACCTCCATTCTGCTGCCATGAGCTGAACAGCTCTGCTCCTAACACCTTCCTCACCATCATGGGCAGAAACCTTTGAAACCATGAGCTAAAATAAATAATCCCTCCCTTGCTTCTCTCGAACATTCTGGTACAGCAACAGGAGAGTCTGACTAGTACACCACAGCACAGGAATACTAGAAGAAGGTGCAAAATACAGGAGATGGCTAACAAACTCAGCAATCAAGATAAATAGTATTTTAATGCAATATTTTAAAAAACAATCGAAATTAATACAAAGCAACTCATGACAAGCAAAATGTTGAATTTTGTGGGTTTTTTTGTTTTGTTCTGTTCTGTTTGTTTTTGTTTTGGTGGTATTAGGGATTGAACTCAGGACCTCACACTTGCTAGGCAGGTGCTCTACCACTTGAGCCATTCTACCAGCCCCTAAATGTTGAATTTTAAAATAAACATGGAATCACTATTACTGGTTTTCCTTCTGCCTCAGGCTCTAATATAGTTTCCCAAGGTACTGTTGCTGACCCAGTCTTTAGTTCAAATCATAAGCTGGATGAAGTGCTGTTTTTGGAGGCCTACTAGGTTGATGGTGTAAGGCAAACTAAAATAAAGAGTCAGCCCTGGGAGCCTGAAGATGAAAGATGAGTTCAAAAAGGCCAACTAGGTGTGGACTACATGGATGTGGTTCCACTTTCCCCCATCAGCCTGTGCTAAATCACTTGCAAAATAGAACCAGAGAACAAAGTGGTGCAATGTCCATGATGCTCGTAGCAAGTAGCGCCTTTGCTACTTGCTGCTGCTGACTGATCCCAGCGCCCATGGTAAAGCTGGTTGTCCCTGGCAACTCTCCCTTTACTGTGAACAGCACCCAAAGGGAAGACTATCCACATGCCCCATACTCTCCTCAACATTATTTCAAGTTTTGATCCTGTCCTCTCCTAACTGCAGGCTTGTCCTTCTCGCCTGTCTTTCTGATGCTTTCTTTATGTTCAAGATACAGACATCTTCTCTAGTTCCCTGAAAGACCATTTCGGCTACCTTTCTCTGGCATTTTTCTATGTCCACAATCTTTCTTGGGTTATAGTATGTAATACTTCCTCTACACTAATTGTACTCATTGATAGTCAGGTTATCTCGGTGCAAAACAATGCCTAGGATTCTAAAGTTCTAGTAGAATACTTTAGGAACCCCAGATTTAATCCATCCCAACTCCCCTCAATGTACAGACCTGAAAACACTGGGACTTTGCCAAAGGCACTCGGAAAACTGATGGCAGCCAGTTGTGGTGGCGCACACCTGTGATCTTAACTACTTGGAGGCAGAGATCAGGATTGCAATCAGGTCCCTGAACGCTCCGGAGCTCGTCTGATCTCAGAAGTTAAGCAGGGTTGGGCCTGGTTAGTACTTGGATGGGAGGATTGCAATCAGTTATCGGGACCCCATCTTAACTAACCTGCTGGGTGCAGTGATACACACATGTGATCCTGGCTATTCAGAAGACAAAAGAGGATCACAGTCTGAGGCTGGCTGTAGGCAAAAACATGAGACTGTATCAAAAAAAATAACTGATGCAAAAAGGGCTGCATAGTGGTAGAGCTCCATCCTCGAAAGCATAAGATCCTGAGTTCAATCCCCAATATGGATTTTTTTTTCTTTTTTCCTGGAGGCAGAACCAAGAGGAAAAAATTCAAAATGATTGTTGCACTTACCACTATTTTGAAAGGAGAGGGGTCAGCAAAAAGGTAAAAACTTTATACCTAGTGGTGGCTTAAATGTCTACTGGGCTCAAGCTGGTCAAATAGACTGTAAAGATGTGTAGGAACCATGGAGAACTATAGAAAACATCATCTAATCTAAAAAGAGGCAGACAGCAGTCAGCCCATGGTTACCATGTGGGAAGGTAGACTCCGTGTTCCCAGCTCTTCTGATTTTCCAAGAGAACCAGAAATCTGGGTTTTTATATGAAATTATCTAATTTTAAAATGCTGCAAACTAATCCACAAGAAGGAGGAAAGGAAGAAGAGATGGAAGTAAGGGAGAGAGGACGGAAAAAAGAAAGGAACCCTTTGCAGTCCAAACAGACCAGCAAGTTTGTGACTCTTGCTTTATTAAGACTTTTTAGTTTCTTTTCCCAACAATTTAAGATTTAAGAACTTAATTCAGAGCTGGGGTGGTGGGAGTGGTGGTCGTTGCTCAAGTGGTACAGCACTTGCTCCAGGCCCTGGGTTCAATCCCCAGTACTTCAAACAAACAAACAAGAACTCAGTTCAAGGTGGGAATAGTGATGAACACCTGTAGTTCCAGCACTCAGTAGACTGAGACAGGTGGACAGTGCCAGCCTGGACTATGTAGTGAGACCCTGTCTCAACAAACAAAAAACTACATCTTAATCCAAGGTGTATTGGAAGTACTTCAAATACAAGCAGAATTTCCATTGTCTTGCCAGTTTTTAAGTCTAGCCATGAAGTTTTTATTAAGCAGCTAACAAGTTCAAAGTCAATAATTACATCACGTTAAAAATGAAACCAAGTTACTTACATAATGATCAAAATGACTGAGATACGCACTTACATTTTAGCTGTTTTAAAAAAGAATAATCAAATATAAAGAGATTTTTTAAAAATCTGTTAGGCGCTGAAGTTCTAGAATTCACTTCCGGATTTACAAAGTTAATGGGAAAGTTTCATAATATTAAGTGTCATTCCAATAAAAAGTAGCAATTCTAAAGGAACTGAAAGACAGTCATCCTGATTATCTCCCCTGGGATCCACTTTTAACCTATGCGGCCTCATGGAAGTTATTTTTGACGCCAAGCTGCATCGAACTTCTTACCAATTCAGTCGTTTTGTCAGGTGAATAGGTGAGAAGACATTGACCAGTTCAGCCGGGCTCAGGCTACCTATTGCTCACGATGACATTAATAACGATGGGTTACTATACATTGTATCCTGCTTCCCACGGGAGAGTCACATAACTTTAGTCTCTGCCAGCCTCTCTTTGTACCCATCTCTCTTCCGAGTCTAGTTTTTACATAAAACTCAATCTATTTCTCTTTCCAATATTCTGCTCTATCGAGACACACCATTTTCAACTGCCCTGTGCCTGGGATCCCCATTTCCCCTACCTCTGGCCCCAAGCTCCCCACCCTCCCCCGCCCCATCTAGAATGCAGACCTCCGCCCTCTCTAGCCCGGTACCCCTGGGTCTAAAATGCCCTAGGCCTCCCGGCCCCGGCCCCGGTCGCGCTGACCCTGTGGTCTCCCACCCCTGCCCCGTGTCCCCCAAGGCCCGCGTCCTCAGCCGTTCCAGAAGTTGACAAAGAAGTTGCAGAGTGAGTGCCACTTCTCCGAGCAGTAGGTCTCGGTGAGCTCCGCGTTCTCCTCCAGCCCGTCGGAGTCCGGCCCAGTAGCCATGGGTCGCTCCTCGACGGGATCGGAGACCTTTCTCTTGCGCCCTCTGGGCTTTCTCTCTGCAGGCTTTTCCTTGGGTGGCGCGCTCGGGCGCGGAGCGGGTGGCCGGAGCCGCGCCCGGGTCCTGGCCCCGATCCCGGGCTCCCCGGGGAAGGTCGCGGCGGTGGCGCGGGTCACCAGGCGCAACTCAGCGCCGTGGCCCTTCTTCCCGGCGCACACGCGGGGCTGGAGCGGGGCGGGGTGGTGGCAGGGCCGCGGCCTCTTGCGCAGAGCGCCCAGCACCTGCCTCCAGTAGTGCGCCGGCGCGCCCCGTAGGCGGCACAGCGCTCGGGCTCCCCGCGGTAGGCGCAGTGGTGGCGCGCCCCGTCCGGGGCCTGGCAATGCAGCGCCACTTCGCTGGCCGCCGCGGCCCCCGGGCCGGGCAGCAGGAGCTGCCAGCTGCACGCGTGCTGCTCCGGACTCACGAAGCGACCCGAAGAGCCGTCCGCGGGGCCGGACTCCGCCTTGTCCCTCCGGGCAGCCGCGAGGCAGCCGCCGCCCAGCAGCAGCAGTAGCAGCAGTGGCGGCGACAGCGAGGGTGACGCTCGCGGCCTCGGAGGATCCATGGCCCGCGGCGTCCGCGGTCTGCTTGCCTGGGCGCTTCAGCCGAGGCGGCGAGAGGATCCGCAGGTTCTGGACACCACTTCCCGGTGGGCAGCGGCAGGCTGCAAGGTGCCCCTCCAAAGAGCTCTCCTGGGGGAACCAATCTACTGATCAATCACTGGGAAACAATTTGTACATTGAGGTTTTCGTTCCCATGTAAAATGATGCCTGTTAATTAATACCTCCCCCCCCCAAAAAAATCTACAAAATAATTTCAGATTAATCCCTGGAAATGTGCACCTGTGCTGCACTTTGGACTTACCGAGCTCTGGAAGAAGTAGCGGAGCCTTATTAGGGCAGAGGGAATGACTGCTTGTGGGATTGGTGTGTTTTAGCCCGGTTCCCTGTGAATGAATGTTATCAATGGGACAGAAGGGGCCTCCCCCACTAAGCCCCTCCCAGACTTCTCTCCTTCTAGATTTCCCAACACACACACACACACACACACACACACACACGCACACACGATAGAAGCAGCCCAGTAACGTGAAATATAAATCTTGTTTTTTGCTTTCCCCTTTTAAAATAATTGTGCAGACCTTAACTAACTTTCCTTTCCGTTGACATATTTAATTATCCAGAATAAAAGTTAAACGAAAATAAGTATTAAGCTTCAGGTAAAATAAAATGAAGCAAACAAGAGTTACTGCTCTAAACCAAATACTACTACACAATCACACTATTTTCATTCATTCTTTTTTTTTTTTTGGCGGAACGGGGGCTTGAACTCAGGGCCTTCACCTTGAACCACTCTACCAGCCCTAGTTTGTGAAGGGTTTTTCCAGATACGTTCTCGTGAACTATTTGCGCGGGTGGGCTTCTAACTGTGATCCTCCTGATCTCTGCCTCCTGAGTAGTTAAGATTACAGGTGTGAGCCACCAGTGCTGGGCTCATTCTGTTTTTTTACACCATTTTCAGTCCTACAGTTTCAACTTAGCATTTCAGGCCTTCTTACCCTAAGAACTTAATCCTAATAACTATTAGTAGTAATAAAAATATAATATCCTAGTTTATTAGCATACTTGGTGTCTAGCAGTTCACCCATGGGTAGGCCTTTGAATTTTTGATTAGTTTTAGGTATTCTAAATGTCTCAAAAGGTGTTATATAGGCTTTAAAAGAAGTTATTCACATTATAGTTGAAAGATAAGAACTCAAATAATATAGCATTTAAGAATTAATGTGTCCTCGAATCTTTTTATTGTTGTCTGATGTGTAGCCCAGGCTGGCTCTGAACTAGAAATTCTTTTGCCTCAGCCTCCCCAGTGCTGGGATTACAGCTCCATTACACCAGAGCAATTCTTGAATCTTGAAAATTTTATATTTAGGCAAGCTACTTTTTTAAGTTTTAGGATATTACATCATCTTTAATTTTTCTCAGTAATGTGTGTGATCTTTATTTCAAGAGTTTATAGCTAGGAGATGGAGATATAGCTTGCTGAACATGTAGAAGGTCCTGAGTTTGATCCCCAGCACTGAAAAATAATTTTTATGCCTCTGACTGTAATGGTTTTATACAATATTTTCCTAAAATACATTTTCTATTACTCCCACTGGCATTGTATTTGAACAATTATAATTTGATTGTAGTATAAAAATCAACACACTTTAAAATTAGAATATATTTAAATATATAGTGATGTATATTGACCAAAGAAAAGAAATTTTTACCACGATAGAGAGTTGGTAAAAATTAAATGACTTGCTCAAGGTCACACATCATTTAGTAATAATGTCAGGTAACAATGTCATCTGACCTCTGATGGTCAATAATCTTTTCATATGGCTTTATATATCACTACTACCACTATCAAAGTTAGTTATGTCTTAACAGGCACTGTTAACCCACAGCTATAATCCTAGCTACTTGGAAGGTTGAGATCCAGAAGATCTTGGTTCAAAGCTAGCCCAGGCAAATAGTTTGTGGGACCCCATTTCAATCAAAACCTGGTGGGGTGGCATCCACCCCTTCCCAGTTACTGTGAAGTGTACAATAGGAGGATTGTGGTCCAGTGGCCTCTGCAAGAAGTGAAACCCTATCTCCAAAATAACCAACAAAAGGGCTGGAGGTGTGGCTCAAATGGTAAAGTGCCTGCCTAGTAAATATGAAGCCCCAGTACTGCCAAAAAGTAAAAAAAAAAAAAAGTTAGTGTGTCTTAATTACACTAGTTCAATGTATAATAAAAATTTATGAAGTTAAGAAAGTTTCCAAAATTAGCAGTAGCTAATTAATATATTTCACAGATGGAAACCCTGTATTTCCCAGAAAACCATATTTGTATGGGTGAAGCAGCAGCGATAAGTAGTCACAGGCTTTTTTCTGTTGCTCTGGCATTGCTTTATTTTATATCAGCTACTGAATAGAACTGGAATAGATTTTTCAGCTAAAGACTGACATCTTGTGGCATTATACACTAATTACAATGAAAAACTTTAAAGTCATCTAATTTTAAATATCTAAAGTTATTTATGTAATTTTATCTAAAGTTATCTAGATAGCCAAAGTTATTTATCCAATTCTAAATATCTAAAGTTGTTTATCAAGTAAAAAAGGCTTATTAACTGAGTTATTACTGAGTTAGTCCAGCTGTTTCTGACAAGTTTTGCTGTCAGAAATATTACTCCCAGAGGAAAAGTAAGGGCACACAGATGTGCTTTGACATGTCAGAAAAGGAAAGGTAATCTTTTAAAACTATAGAAAAAGAATCACTGCCAGGCGCCGGTGGCTCACACCTGCAATCCTAGCTACTCAGGACGCAGAGATCAGGAGGACCAAGGTTTGAACCCAGCCCAGGCAAATAGCTCTGGAGACTCTATCTCAAAAATACCCATCACAACGAGGGCTGTCAGACTGGCTCAAGGTGAAATCCCTGAGTTCAAGGCCCAGTACCCCCCCAAAAAGAATCATTAACATAAATTTACCATTTTAGTTATTTTTAGGCGTACAGTTCAGTGAACTTAAATAGTTCACGCTTGTGCAATCATTACCATCCATCTCCAGAGCATTGTTCATTTGCCCAAACTGAAAGCCTGTATCCATTAAACACCAACTCCTCTTCTTGTTCCTCTCTTCCTCACCTCCTGACCATCACCATCCTCTTTCCTGTATGAATTTGGATACATAGGTGCCTGATACAAAGTAAAATCATAGAAAATTTGCTCTATTGGTTAAACCCCAGTACCACCAAATTAAATTTTTTTTTTCTTTTGGAATTGGCATACTTCACTTACATGATGTCCTCTAGTTTCATCTATATTGTAGCATGTCCCCAGAATTGTCTTCCTTTTAAAGTGGAATCATATCCCACTGTATGTATACACCATTTTTTGTTTAGTTATCCATTGCTGGACACTGGGCTGCTCCTACCTTTCTGCTGTTATTAATGTTGTCATGAACATCAGTGTACAAGCATCTGTTCAAGTTCCTGCTTAAAATTATTTTGGATATATACGCAAGTGGAATGGAATTACAAGGTCATATAACTGTAGATTACTTATTTAGTTTTTCGCAGTACTGGTTTTGACTCAGTGCCTTACATTTGCCAGGCAAGTGCTCTACTACTTAAGCCATGCCCCATTGGTTTTTTTTTGTTTTCCTTTTTTATCCCCCCCCCCCCACCGTACTGGGTTTTGACCTGGGGCCCTACACCTTGAGCCACTCCACCAGCCCTTTTTTGTGATGAGTTTTTGTTTGAGATAAGGTCTCGTGAACTATTTGCCAGGCGGGCTTCAAACTGCGATCCTCCTGATCTCTGTCTCCTGAGTAGCTAGAATTACAGCCGTCAGTCACCAGTGCCCAGCCACCCCACCATCTCTTTTTGCTTTAGCTATTTTTCAGATAGGATCTCCCACTTTTTGCCCTGTGATTGGCCTCAGACCAAGAACCTCCCACCTATGCCTCCCTCATAAATAGGATTACAGATTTGCACAATCGTATTCAGCTTGTTTATTGAGATTGGGGTCTTGCTGACTTTTTTTTTATCTGGGCTGGCCTCAAACCATGGTCCTTCATCTCCACTTCTCAAGTGCTGGAATTATAGGCATTTGTCAGTCATCATGTCTTATTTAACTTTTTGAGGAACTTCCAAACTATGAATACTATTTTCCACAGTGGCTATGTCATGTCACACTCCCATCAACAATGTACAGTGTTCCAATTTCTCCACATTCTTGCCAACTCTTTCTTTTTTTCTCTTTCTTTCTTTCGTTCTTTCTTTTTCTTTCTTTCTTTCTTTTCTTTCTTCCTTTCTTTCCTCTCTCTCTCTCTCTCTCTCTCTCTCTCTCTCTCTCTCTCTCTCTCTCTCTCTCTCTCTCTCTCTCTCTCTCTCTCTCTCTCCCTCTCTCTTTTTCTCTCTTTCTTTCTTTCTGGCAGGGTCTCACTATATAGTCCAGGCTTGAACTTGCAATTCTTCTGCCTCAGTCCCCCAAGTGCTGGGGCGTGCACCACCATATGTGGCTTTTTTATATTATATCCATTCTGTCTGTAAAAATAGTATCTTACTGTGATTTTAATTTTCATTTCTCTGATGACTAGCGATGTTGAGACTATTTCTGTCCACTTACTGGCCATATTTCATATGCACAGTTCCATGTGCATATCTTCTTTGAAGAAATATCTAGTCAAGTCCTTTGCTTATTTTTTAGATAGGTTGTTCTGTTGTTGAGTAGTTGGAAGTCTGTGTATTAACTTCTTTTTAAATATGTGATTTACAAATATTTTCTCCCATTCTGTAGATTGCCTTGTCACTCTGTTAATGGTCTGAGATGCACAAAAGTTTTTAATTTTTATGTGGCCCAAGAAAAATTCCTTTTTCAAATATCGTGTGAGATGAATAAAAAACATGAAATACATATCCTTACACTGTCTTTTTAAATCGTTTGCATCAATGACCAAAAAGACCTGTTGGGATTCCAACCATGTGCTACCTAAGCATTTATAAGGAGGTGAAGTTTGTGAGAATTGC